CAAGCTTTGTATATTTACTCTGCAACCTGTTGACATTTTCCTATGTTCAGTGGCCATAGGTTGAGTTTTGCTGAGGCTCAGCCTGTTTCCAACAGTCTGCCRCTCCCTTTCCCCGAGTCCATGCTTGGACTGAAATTCCTGTTTCCACATCAGTGGCAAAATGACAGAGTTGAATCTGCTGTAGTTTGTATGTGAGCTGATAACTTATATATGAATATGACATTTCCTGCTGCTCTAGACTTTTTATCCAGACCAATCATTAGTGCAACATATTATGGATTGTATGTCATGGATGTGCCTACCTCCAGCAAATATCTCATTCCCTGGTGCTCTGCATGCAGCTCCTATGTACTTGCTGAATCCTAGACTTCGAGGGAAAGGTGTGTCTTGAAAATCTTCAAGCTTTATTTTTCAGTAAGAAACTTTTCTGAGTGCCCCCAGTGTGTCCCACTGCCTCTACAGCAGGGAGATGCCTAGGAAAATTTCTGCCTGTAGAGGCCATGCTACTGTTGTTACCCTGTGTGCATATGTTTATTTTTTCTCACACAGCCAGTATTTTTAGGAACACACACATATGCTTTGTCTTTGTCTTGCCTCATTCCCCTTCTCTGCTCTGGAGTGGGGAGGATGAGTGTGACAAAAAAGGCCCAAAGACACCAGACTGGGCAACCTGTGTGTCTTGCACTAAGACCAGTTTGCTAAAGATCTTGGATCTCTCTTTTCATTTTTTTTCCCACCCCTGAGCCAAGGATTCTTGGCAATTTCCATCACATTGGTGTGGGATGCAGCACAAACTGAGCAACTTGGGAAATAGCTTCTGTTTGCTGCAAAAATCACCATCTCAATTTTAGCTAAAAACAAAGAGCACTTTTTCTGCTCCTCCAGTGACCTAGCAGTGTTGGGCCATTATCTTTAGAAGCGTAGTACAGGCAGGGGATCTGGTGTTAAGGAAGGATAAGCATCTCCTTGAGACATAAAGGCTGCTCCCAGAGGTGAAACTTAATGGAGCTGCACTGTAGGTGGCTATGGGAAGTTAGGATGTTGTGAACAGTGTCAGTCCAATCCTGAGGAACTAGCAAATAACCAGGATGCACCAGTTCTGACAGAGAAGAGAGAAGAATCCCTCCCTTTGTGTACCCCTGTGCGTGTGGGAYAAAGCAGGGGACTAGTCATGCCACCAGCTGTTCCAGAGCGATTGAGGAAACACAGAACAATAAGCCCCTCTATGGCCTGTTAGCTGAGTTCTGCACTGTCCTTGCAGCCTTACCAGTTTCAAACATCAGCTTCGGGTTTTGGTTGCTCTGAACCAGAATTGCCTGGGAGCAGATGGCAGGTTGTAGAATTCTAAAAGACAACTAAGCCCTGTTCTCCAGGTGGCACAGACTGAGGGGGAGTCCTGGAAAGGTCTCTAGACAGCTTGTGCCTTCTTAACTCCCCAGCATTCACCTAGCTCTGAGGTATAATCTTCTTTTACTCYCCAGCATTCCTGCTCTGGAATCCTGCAGCAAACAGTCTGTAGCTGGCATCTCTCCATCCACTGGCTCTGGAAATGGTGACTGAACCCAGACAAACTGCTTGCCATAAGTCATGCAAATGCTCGCATCATTTGTCAGGAGCTAGTGACAAATTTGCAGTGATTTCCTGAAAACCAAATCTTACTGGTAATATGTCCATCACACCAAATGCATCTTCAATTACCTTAAATAATTTTTTTCTCCCTTGTAGTAAAAACACTTCTGGTAAGAGGTCTGTCTTACTTAGACCTGGATATCTTTCATCTCATGCTTTTAATTGCAAGCACTGTCAAAGAAGCTGAAGAAATAAACASGTTATGAGCCTGCAAGCTGGTGCTGTTGACTCCACGTGGGAGAAAACCTTTAGCCACACACCTCAGAACCAATACACTCACCTCTGCTGGATAACTGCTGTGTTATAGGAATCAGGAACACACAACACCTGTGTCATTTGATAATTTATTGCATAAACAGGCAGTTTGAAGTTCAATGGAAGTAAAAAAATACTTCTGAAGAGATGTGCTGATGACGAAAAGAAGATGATTTAACAACTCATTTGCTAAAAGGCAGAGATCCTCCTCAAATGTTTGTCTTGAGCCACCTTTTAGTGATCAGGCACTATACAAACTCATGCTTCTTACTAACCTCAGGGAATAGGAAAAGGCATTTCTGGAATTGCATCTGTGTATAAAAAAATTTAAGGAACACCAGAACCAGCACAAGACCACAGATGCAGGGAGGTCTTGGAGGAGCTCTGTTACTCACAGAATCGCCCCTGGTCAGCACAAGAGCTGAGATGGGYGAAGTGYRTGYGATTTCTAAAGGCAAGTTYARGAGCAAGGTCTTTTGCGAGGCAGAGATATTTGCACCACCTAGGAAATAAAACAGTATCTGTTAACTAGGAATGGCTAGAGTGTCATTGACATTAAACTAAAGCAAACTGATTTCAGGGAGATTTGGGACTCCCTGGAAGAGGAGGTCAGTGGGTGGATCACAGCAAAGAAAYCTCATCCTGAGGATGACTTGAACAGACACTCTAATAGAACAGACATACGAAGGTTCACAGCTGAGTGKGATTCCTGRTGGGAAGAGGGTTGCAAAGCTGGATAAAAATAGAGACTTTTYWAATTTAGCAGAGGGCCCTTCAAGAGATGGGAGAAGACACCACACCCACCTCCCTCTCAGTACCTCTTCCATTTGCTTGGTGGTGAATTGGGCATTTTTTCACTCAGAAGCCWTTCACCTTGGTAACCTAGACTCAGAGGGGCTCAGAACAAAAACACAGGCTGGTGAGGCAACAGGCTGAATRTCTCCCCAACATGCCTGAGACAGAGAAAGGGAGAAGAGGGGAAGCAGGAGGGGAATTGTCTGCTTTATGCCACAGCACTGTTAATCCACTCAGCCTTTCCAGCAGCCAGTCTGTGGCCATGGCTTTGTTATTACCGACTGCCAGTCAGACCACTGCTGAAAGGGACTTCTCTCCCAGCTTGCTTGCCCCATCAGATCTAGAGCTGCCTGTCCTCATATGTACTTCCACTGCCACAACCTAATAGTTCAGGTGCAGAGGAGTGWCTCAGCCAGATGTTTCTCTCYAGAAAATGGCATGKGCTGATGAACTGGGAGTAAGGGACYTWGCACATCTACCAGTGTAGAAGCCTCCATGGAACTGGTGCAAAGTTGAAATGTAAGGAAAGAGAAACATGTTTCGGAGAGTGCTGGTGGGCAAGAATGAGCAAGAAAGGTCTGTGGTGTAGCAAGGTACTGACCTGCACACCTCAGCCCTGACGGACTTCAGAGGGTTTGTAACACCTCTCTCTGTGGCATGGTAGATCACAGAGGTCCAAATCACAGCACTTCCAGTCTCCAAAACAGCAAATCCCCTCCCTTACAGGTACATTACCAGAGGCTCTGTAGGTGAGCTTACATGGCATAGTTRGTGCACCAAAATACAGAATAAATCACAGAGCCATGAATTTAAACCCTCATCTGTTCCCATCAGAATATAGAGTTGTCCTAATATTTGTGTCAGCTCTCCACAGACCACTGAAGTTGTGATGCCAAACTTCTCACTAATGACTCTGCAGCTTCTGGGGAAGCCAACCCCAGCTGACAGATACAACAGGAAAAACATTCTAAAAAAGGTTAAAAAATTGGATTTTTAAATAGGTATAACCTAAACAGGTCAATAGYATCTTGCTTTTCATGATGCAGTTCATCTCATCAGGTGCAGGGAGGTGAGGAGAGGAAGGTTCTAGTATTTTTTTAAATAGCCCCACCTAAAAGGAACAAAGCCCACAGCAAAGCTCTGTACAGAGCCTTGCCATAACTCACCACACCTCCATCTCTCACAGACTGAGCATGGCCAGCAAGGACACTCCACAGCCTCTCTTCCAGGGCTGATCACATGGGTGACATCTTCACTGAAGAAGTTTTTAAGGGCATTAGGGTGACAATGGTGTAATTTACACTGCAGACAAGATGCACCACTACCCGCAGCATTAATCAAGTGAGRGCAACCCAAAGGGAGCAGCTGGCAGGAGATGTATCAGGGAACAGCAGAAACTGGTACGCCTTCAGCCAGCCAGTCACACCCTTGTYAAACCACTTTCAACATCAAAGGCATCATTTGAATCCTGCACTTTCAGGCAGAGCAGTTACAGGCAGGTACCCACCCAGTTCAGTGTCACTGCCACCCTTCATAAACTGTAAYRCAGGCTGGCTTTCACCAGTGCTGCAGAGTAAGCCTGTTTGGGCAGATTTACAGCCTTGAAGTGCAGGTATAGAAGGCTATTTTCGTACCTGCCTGTTGTTACATTAAGTCCCCTTCTTGTCAGGGCTTACTGCAGTAAGGACACATTGTTTTAGGTCACTTACTGTATATTTTATGACAAATTTACATTAAAAGGTTAAAAGTGATTGAAATGGCATAAAGTTAGTCTGAATTCATYCTTTGGAAGGGGACTTAGCTGAGGAACGATGAAGTTGAGACAGTAAACCAAAACCCAAACCACTGGGCAGTTAAAGTCATTGTGGAAAAGAACAGTCACGTGGAAGACAGGATCTCGGCTGTCATGCTCCAGGAAGAAGTGGAATCAGCATAACTTAGAATAGTGTTTTTACTCTCAGTTTATGGCACTAAAAACTAAGTTCAACAAGTGAACCTTGTATTTCTTTGCCATCGCCTAGTGCAGTGGAGGCAACACTCCCCTCTGCCACAAAGATAATTTACTTGAAACGGTTACTTGGTTACTTATCTGTGAAAATGTCACTACACAGGTACGTTTTTCCCACAACTCTTCTAGAAGCTTTAACTCTAGTGTTATCCCACTAGGCACTACTTTCATGTAAATTTAAAGAAATTAGCTCAGTTCTGTACAGGCCTGCCTACTCAAGAATGCATCTTYACTTCAGACAATAATGAAGTTTAAAACCAGACAGTGAGGTTGGTTGTTTTTGTTTACATTGAACAGTTACTGAGCAAGAAAGTGAGACTGAGTAGTTTATTTGATGTTGTTGCAGACCACAGTATAATTTGATGGATTTGGATTATGTTGACCAAAAAATACAGTCTTGACGCCGTTTTACACCGCAATCAGTATTGGCCATGCACATTCAACAACAGCACCAGCTTAGTCATCTTTAAGCTGCTTGATCTTATGCTTATGGCGCTCGATTTCTTTCTGCAGACGGTCAATCTCTTTCTGGTGGTGATGGATCTCTTCCTCGTGGTGTTTCCGTAAGGCAGAGAGCTGCTCCCGCTCCTTTTCCCTACAAGAGAGGACGGCAGGAACTGTATTCCCGCAGCGGCTGCGGGAGAGGCCGGTCGGACCCCGCCCCGGTCCCGTGGGGAGCGGCTCTGGAGGCTCCAGGCCCCACTCACCTGAAGTACCGCTCCTCCTCGGCCGCCTGCTTCTTCCCGAAAGCGCCGCCGGCCTCACGGATGGAGCCGCCGCCGCCGCCGCCCTTGCCGGCGCCTTTACCCAGCTCGCCCAGCTGCGGGAGAGACGGCGGTGAGCGCGTCACGGTCAGACGTACGCGCAGAGGGACGGAGGGACCAAAGGACGGACAGACGGACGGGTARGGGAGCGGAGGGACCAAGGGACGGACAGACGGAAGGAGCGATTACACTCTCGGAACACCCCCCAACCTGTCGCGCCCGCGCGCTCACCTGGTCGGAGCCCGACCCCGAGCTCCAGCGCTGCTGCTGCGCCAGCAGAGCCCCGCGCAGGCCGCCCCGCGCCGCCACCGCCACCACGGCCGCCATCGCCGCGTGCCCTTGGAGCCGCCACCGGGCCGCCCCGCCCCGCCCCGCCGCCAGTGCGCAGCCGCAGTCCCCGCCCGCCTCCCGCCTCCAGGGCCCTGAGGCGCCGGGGGCGGGGCGGGGCGCTGTGACGTCACAAGGCGGGGCCCCGCGCCCATCGCGTTCCATGTCCGGCCGCGCGGCGGGGGGGGCGGGGCCTGTTGCCGCGGCGCGCGCCGTGGTCACGTGCCGTGACGGCGCGGTCACGTGTGGGTGGCGATGGCGGCGGCGGGGCCCGGCGCGGGCGCGGCCGAGGACGCGTTTCTGACCTTCTACAATGAGGTACCGCCCGCGCCCCCCGGCCCCCGGCCGCTCGAACCCCCCGGGCCTCCCCTCGTGGCCCCGGGGCCTGCGAGCCGCGCGGAGCCGGGCTGTGGCGGGCCCGGGGGCCGCCGGCGGGCGGGACGGGCGGAGCCACTGTGGGCGCTGAGCAGGGGGTGGGCGAGCGGCGGGTGCCGGTCCGTTCGTGCTCGGTGCGGCCTTCCCACAGCCCTGGCGGTAGCTGGACACCGCACCGGCCGTTCGGCCCTCGTCCCGCTCGGCTGAACCCGGTGGGAGCTGTTTGCTGGCGGTCCGGGAGCGCTGCCCCCGCCGTGCTCCCGCTCGGCCTTGCTGTGGGCAGACTCACCCGAGCGGCTGCGCGGGCCCCTTTCCCTGTGCCGGGTTCCGTTACTTTGGGCACAGCCGGGATGTGTTTATCTGAGCTGCCCGCGCAAAGGCCRTGCCACTTCGGTGGATGCATGCTTCTTTAAATAAAGATAAACATTAAATATAAATACGTTGTTTGGTTTGGCGCGCTACAGTGAAAGGCAAAAAGTAAACTGAACTGARCTAAATAACCTGTGGTCAGAGTAAAGGGAACTTGTGCATTTGCGTCAATATCACTTGAAGCGTTTAAAGGGCTGCACTGCCAATAACGGGTTAAAAGCAATAATGCCGTGGTTTCCAAGGAATCACGGTGACAGTCGTGCTGGAGGAGCAAGGGGAGGGGGAAGGCRCAGCTGTAGAGCAAGCTATAGAAGAAGCTGGCAGAAGTGCTCKGCAGTGTTTTTTATAGTTAAAATGTGATGTTAAAAATACTGTTGTGCTGTAGAAAAGGCTAAAAATATGCCCTGATAGTGCCTGTGTAAAATTACGGCAGGCTGGGGGTAGGGTAAGCAAGAAGTATTGTGAATTGTAGTACAAGACGAGGATGTCTGGTAGAATAACAGCATTGAAAGAACAGGTAAGGGTGTTGTGATGGTCAGTTACTACAGGTCTCTCTTGTTCTTCAGGTAAAGCAAATTGAAAAACGAGACTCTGTTTTAACATCAAAAAACCAAATTGACAGGCTGACTCGACCTGGATCTTCCTATTTCAACTTGAACCCTTTCGAGGTTAGTTCAAATATTCTACCCTCCTTTCTGATTTGGTGTACAGACTTCCTGATATCCTGAGTATTTGTTACAATAAAAGACCCCATAAGGAAAGAAGAAATATCTCTAGGTACATATTAACATGCAGAAGGTTTGCAGAAGGCAGCAGGATRGTGTATATGTGCTCACTCTCTTTCTCAGTGTTTGGTGGCAGCACAAACTGTATATTGTCACGTTTCCCTCATACAATAGTGCTGGAACATGTTGCAGATCAGTGCTGGGTACTTTCTGAACAGGAAGGTAGTAGCTGGAGRTGGCAGCTTGGCAGGGTCTGCTTGTAGCTCTCTTAATTCAGCATTTCTGAATTAAGTGTTTTATTTTGGGTGCACATCCCACTGAACTTGTGTACTGCATAGAGTAAGAAAAAGTCTCTCAGTGGTCACACCAGTGAGTAGTCTCCATTTGTAAATGGATAATCCCTTTGCACATTACAGCGTTTAATTTCAGTTGCAGTCAGTTATAAAGTCTTAATGAGTAGGAAAGCCTGAGGAAGACAGTAAATAATCAATCTGGTGTTCATCTGGAGTTGGCATTCCCTGGGTATATTCCTTTCTGATGTTATCTTCTCTGCCTTTTTCAAGCCTCAGGTGCCTTTTGTAGTCCCCATTCAGGGCTGGTCAGCCAGGTGAGTCAGCAGAATTGCTTTGACAACATTCAGTTTTGTAGTATCAAGTCTTAGTGCTTGTCTTGGAGAGTAAATTAAGAAAGCCATTTCAAAATAGACTATAGCTTTCCTGTGAGAGAGTGTTATTTACAGATTCTTAGAGTCTGACCAGCATGCATCTGCTCACTTCTTGCTTAAATCTACTGTTCAGTAAATTAATTCACGGAAGAGTTCCTAAACTCCGCCACATCCGTAAAGATCAATAAACAAGAGGTCTCATTCATGGAAACCAAACAGTARAACTTTACTGTCTGCTTGCAAAATGATAAAATGAAAAAATCCGTATAAAATAGTATGTTTCTTGCCCAAAGTTCTAAGTTATGAATGACCTGACAGTGTCCCCAAACCCCCATATGCTTTTGTTTCTGTCTGAATTGCTACAGGATTGGTTGAAGGTTCAGACCAATTTACGGATCATAGCTGTGTACACAAAACTTGAATATAGAAAGGACACTGGCATAGCCAGAGAAATCTAGTATTGCTAAAAGTAGTGTTATAAGTGTAACAAACAGGGTGAAATATTTTTGTTTAACTGGGTGAAAATTCATGTCATTGTGGGGCAAGCTTTTTGGTGTGTGTCTGTGTGTCAGTGAACCAAGTGCTATAGAATCGTGGAATATGCTGAGTTGAAAGGCACCCATCAGGATCATTGARTCCAACTCCTGGCCCTGCATGGACACTCCAACATCCCACCTGTGTGTCCTTGAGAGCACTGTCCAAGTGCTTCTGGAGCTCTGGCAGCCTTGGGGCTGGGACCATTACCCGGGAACCTGTTCAGTGCCCCACCACCCTCTGGGGGAAAACCTTTTTCTAATACCCAACCTAAACCTCCCCTGACTCAGTTTCATGCAGTTTCTCATGTCCTGTCCCTGTTCATAAGAGTGAAGGGATCAGTATCTGCCCCTGAGCTACCTACCCCTTGGAAGGACATTTAAGAGTGTAATGAATTCTCCCCTCAGCCTCCTCSAGGCTGAACAAACCAAGTGACTTCAGCCACTCCTCATGACAGTGTTAGAGCTTGCTGACAGGAACCTGAAACATGGAGAATAGCATCAAACTTGCTCTGCTTTCATGGTCTCTTTTAGGTGCTGCAGATGGATCCTGAAGCCACAGATGAAGAGATAAAGAAAAGATTCCGACAGGTATTCAGCTTTTGCACTGGAAGCCTGTGGAAGGGAAATAGAAGTTTTGTAGGCATTGTTCAGCTGGTTGTGGGCACAAGGAAAGTGGTAGTCAAGCTGTATGGGGATAGAGGGGTGGTTATTTTGGGCAGAAATGCATAGAGCAATGCTTGTATCAGCAAGAGGAGAGCTGCAGCCGTGCCCCCAGTCCATGCATGATTGGCTGCTTTGCCTGTACAGTGTATGATGGGGCTATTACAAACASATACAACCATGTGTAATTTGCCTCTTGAGCTTGAGATCAAAAGGTATTTTTCTCAATATATGGACTTGGATCCAAAAGGGTATTTTTTCTGAGGTTTCTTTAAGAATTTCTGTGGTCATTTTTGGTGACTCGGTTACCTGGAAAAGCAGCAGCCCTGCTTATTGGCAGGTCTGCAACACAGACATTCAGCCTCCCTCTGCTGACAGACCTGCARGAAAAGTTTGAGTTTAATCAGTGCAAGCAGCAAAAAGACAGTATTTGGAGGGCTGCAGCCTCCACCTGAATTAGCGCTGTGTCTTTAGGCAGGAAGATGCTTGGTGGCAGAGGAACAGGATATGGGCTACTCCTGTATGTGAGAAGACAACTTTTTGGTCTGTTGCTGACTTCTGAGTTCTGCAATAAAGCGAGATGTTCTCAGCTTTGGGCTGRTAAAACACCACAGGGAGATGTTTTGAATTCAAGGTAATGAATTGAAAAATATACATGGAATTGTCCATTGAAGAAATCAAACACCTAAATGCAGATTGTGGAACAGCCAGCAAAGGGGAAAAAAGATGCTGGCTGAAATAAATCTGTTCAGGACTGAAGGCAAACCYTTCCCTAGGAGYTATGAACTGGCARCTGTAGGGTTGCAAAAGTAGTTACKTTGCATTCTTTCAGTTGCTGCTCTGTGTAGCAATGGCAGAAATAAAAGGTCTGGAAAAAAAAGGAAGAAGCCATATGGGGTAAGTTTGAAAGGACTTTCTGAAAGAGGAATGCAGAGGACTTGTGGAGGACAGTTAAAGTTCCTGTCAGGATGGTTGTGATCTATGTCCTGTCTCTGCCAGGTGGAGTACAGGCAGGAGTTTTCTTAAGATTCAGTAAAGTAGCCTAAGAAAAAATGACCACTCTTWWRCAGTTTGGTATTTGAACAKCCTTGGGGATGCTGGAGAACTTCTTGAGAGGCTTTGGTTGAGGATGATCTTTTTATGTTTGTTTCTTGTCAAGACCAAGGATACAAATCTTCAGTGACCGAGGGGTTCATATCAGCCCGGACACTGCGGCTGAGGCGTGTTTAAATTGTTGTGCACATCACAAGCTGCAGCTTTTCTTGGACAGCCTGTTTGTTATAGGGATTGTTTGATTTATYAGCTTGTACTGGCACATACTTCTGCGTGTTGTCAGCTCCATGTACAAAGGAATGCGATCTCTTTGGATTATTTCTGTCTGAGACTATTTCCCTGCTCTCAAAAATCTCTGAAATAGTCTTCATTTTTTATAATAGTTTTGATAGCAAGATCCTTTCTCTTGCAGCTGTCAATATTGGTACATCCAGACAAAAACCAAGATGATGCAGATAGAGCYCAGAAGGCTTTTGAAGGTAATTAAYGCTCTTTCTYTGGRCTGYTCTGGRTTAGTAGTTGCTGCTTTTCTGGTGCTGTTGAAATGTTCATTAGGGTGGAGGGGACAGAAGGGTTGCTGCAGAGGTGTTCTAGCTGGGGCAGAAGCAGCTGTGGTAGCAGCAGCTGTGTGAGGTGGTGACACTAGGTGGCAACAATGSCATTGTCATGTCACAACAGGGACAGATATTTTCATGGGGTTTTGGGATTGTTTAAGTAAAACTGTTTAATCTGTGCATTAGACTTTATTCCAAGACCATATGATAGAAGTGATGTGATGATTTTAGGTGTGTGCTTTGC